AGCATGGCTTGTGCGGGGCCGTAACATGGTGATACTGTGTACCAGCTCACCCGTGCGTGAACTTGGTCGGCGCCACGTCTATGTACCAGAGGAAATGCCTTCGGGGCAGGTTCGAGTCATCGGATTCCGTGGCATCAAAATGTCCTTCTTTATGCCTTGCTGCCGATGCTACCTTGGGGAACCGCTCACTTCGCTTCATCTCGGTTTCGTTGAGAGAGAACCTTCTGCTGGATCATGCATTGATGTAGGGAAGGGAACTCAAAGCTCATAATGTTCATCATGAGGCATGTAACTTCTGGAGACTAAGTGTCCGCCTCGTCATTTCCACTAGGTGAAAGAGCGCCGAGCATGGCTCTCAAGTTGCTGCTGTGTGAGGAATGAAATTTTGAGGAATAAAATTTACCGGGAAAATGAACATCTGGCCTACAGAGCGTCGACCTGGGACCGGTCATTGTAAAAGAGTCCAACGGACATTTCTCTTGGCCACCGCCAGGATTTGACCGATAGAGGGAGCAGGCTGTGACCAACAGTTGCTCAAGCTTCAGCAAATCTAATTCAATTGTGGCGGGGCGAGAGTAGCCTGGCCATTCGAGTGACAGAGACGCTATGGATGGCTCGTGAATCGTGAGGAGCGCGGTTCTGAGTTCAGGAGAGCGTACGAACACTGGAGGAAAGAGGTTACATGTGAAATCCATGTCTCCGACTTTCCCGCTTTCAGTACGTCACCCAGTACCAGACCACCTGCTAGAGCTGATGTTTCATCCGACCCCTGGCAGGTTGCGATCTGGCTGCTGTGGGGAGATGAGGAGGCTAGACAGTGCCTCCCTTCACAGCTTAAGGCCCAATGCAGGTCGCGCTCTGCCCCCTCAACCAGGCCTGGTACATTCGAGAAAAAGGGTCTCTCTCCCGTCAGGATACTAGCCCTTGGGTCGATTCTCATGATAGAAATGTCTCCTTTTCTCTGATGTAAAAGCTTACGAGCCGATTCATCATGGTGGCCCTTGCTGCGGGCCTAAAAGTGCCGGAATGAAGCCTCCTTGCATACATGTACGCGTCTTCACTAGAATTCCAAGCAATGGCGCCCGAACCGGGTAAGGTGGCAAGAGGTCAGGCCATGCATGCATACGCACGTACACCGGAGTCTGGGTGCGTACAACGACGGGCCGTCAAAAGATGATTCGGTCGACGAAGAATAAGGTATCTTCAGAGTGTCCGACATGAGTCTGGCACAACCCTGCCTGCCCTTGGAAGTTGTCTGGCAATGCGCGACAAGGTTAAGAGACTTGATGGGGTCGTTCGCCTGGCGACGGCTAGGTTTATTTGCGACCATGCCAACATGGAAACTTGTCCGCCGAGCGTGGACGTCAGAGAGACGAGATTCAGGGCGAGAGGCCTAAATATAGGAAAAGCCCACGGACTCGAGCTCCCTGGCCATATAAGAGTTCAGGGCCTATAATGTCTACTCCCAGTTGATGACACGTGGGTCGAGTTTTCATTGAGCCGTCTGTCGTGGTTGCATCCATTTGGTGCTCGAATCTGTGCGTTTAATAGGCGCTGCCCTGGAGGTGCCCGACAATGTGCACATACACACTCGATAACTGCCACTGCTAGCAAAGGCTAGATGTACAGTGTGGTGGGGTGACGTGAGAGCTCAGTAGAGCGAGCCGATGCAATACGAGGTTCCGTCGCCCTGCCGCTTGCAGAAGGGAGCTTTCGGATGCTGTCGGCCTCCGTCGTTACAAATGACAGGGGAAGGAACATGCTGATCGAACGGAACGTTTGAGAGCCTGCCACCGTCGTAAACTCGCCCCTCTGGCCAGGTATACGAAGAAGCGCCGTTGCAAAATGACGATCAGTACTCGCAAAGGCAAGAGCCGTCCGAGAGAATATGGATTGCGAGGCGAGCAGTGCATGTGTTGGTTTTCAGATTTCCACAGGGGGACGATGATTCGAGAGAGAGGAAATCGGGAAGCCTCAAGCTCCCTCGACAACAGCAGTCACAATTGCTGCTGATGCAGAAAGCTTGTCGCATGGCAGGGAGGCAGACGCAAAGGGCTTGTACCTCATCTTACAAGATCACCTATTGATTGGTGATGGTTCTCCTGCATTCGACAGCAGGGAGAGAATGCGGACAGACACCGTCTCAGTGATCTCTCGGGTTCGTGTGGAAAGTCCGGTCCGTCAAGTTGCCGTACTTCTACATACGCAGTAGCGTGGGGAATGGGTCCCTCTGATCAGGATCTCGACAAGGTACCAGTACCCTTGGTGGAGACGCGGCGTGCGTTGGGTGTCAAGGATCTCTTGGCCGTGGGCTTTGTATGGTTTCCCAGTGTTTCCCCTGATGTTCCTCTGCGTCGATTCATCTGATGGCCAAGTGCTCGTTAGTCCCACCACAGCCAGCCCCTGTCGCGTCCTGTCAGGTTCAGGAGGCCAGATCAGTGACAAAGGACAGCCGGGCAGCCGCGCGTTGCTGCCGCCGAGCATGTCGACGAAGGTTCTTGACAATCATCAGACAGTCTCTCGCTAGCTTCAGCTCTTGCGTGTGATGAACGGAGGTGCGGGAGATCGAAATCGTCGCCAGCTTTGATGATGTAGGGCCAGGTCGGGGAATCCTTTTGATGACCAAGTCATGCTCGTGTTAAGGATTGATGAGACGCTGATGGACAGGCAGTACCTGGTTCATCTGGATTGCAGCAATGAGCAGGAGCCTTGCACTGGAACCCCCATCAACCCATTTCCCATCCCGACAGGCCCTAGTCTAGCGCCATTCCGATCAATGCCAACTCGAGGGGCTCATGTCCAATTTGAACGCGAGCTTTGCTGGCTGCAGCCTCAACGCGGTCGCTCTTGCATCGTGCAGTCAGCATGGGAGGCAAGACAAGGGGGACAGCGGAGAGAAGATACACAGAGAGACGAGGAGAAGGGAAGGGGGGTTCATTACACATGCATGGTACATATTTGTACTGGACAGGATGCACTTCAGGTACCTGAGGTAAGGTGAGGTACCTAGGTAGGCACCTGTCCATGTACGTGCAGCATACATGTAGGCGGTTCACTCCATACAGTATGAGCGTCCTACATGTCTGAAATGCGATAAGTAAATTTCCCTGTGAGAAGACTGTGAGAACGGAGCCAAAGAAAAAGGCGATACATGTAGATTCGGATGACCAACGGAGCCTGTGCTATGGCGGTTTCATTCGGCAACAACAGCCCGGCCTCTCAAGGGCAGAAGCCGCGACCGACCGGCCGGATGTTTGCGAGCAGGCGTCTTGAAGCCGATCATCAGGTACAATGTACACGTACAGGTTCAACGAATAAATAAAAGGGGCACTTGCGCAAGCGGTTCACCATTTTGTCGACACTAGATCGTTAGCACCATCTCGTCAATCGATAGCTTTTCGACACAGGCACAGGCCGAAATAGAGTACGGTGCTCCACTGATGACCGTGTCGCGTCTGTAAACACAAGCCGGGTGCGCGCCCTGTGCGAGACCCCCCGAAGGAGCGAGGCGAGCATGTCGGGGCTTCCTACCTACCACCCGTGCCGTCCTAGGCAAGTTCCAAGCCAGCAAGCCAGGCACCACTGTGGCCGGCGGGCGGATAGCAGGAAGCCTGCTCTCGCACTACATAATGTCTCACACATGGTGTCAGGGGCGGGCCACTGGGAAGTCGCACAGTGTCGCTGCAAGTGGGCCCCCCTGAGCTCCGTAGTGGCGTAGCAAGGTAGCGTCCCTGCCTGTGATGCAGATTCGCTTGGTCGGCCAGAGGAGCCAGACAGACAGAGACGACACACCCAGGCGGGCGGAGGACCACCAAAGAGCAAGGACGATACGGAAACCTTCACAATCTTACCATTTCGACCCCGACTTGCGTACTCCTTTCCTCCCTTCTCCCCTCTGCGTTTTCGTCCATCATCATCATCGTTGCCAACAACGAAGAGGGATCGTGACTGTTCCTTCGCTCTCCCCCTCCTAGCCTCGTCTCATTCTTTCTTTCGTTCCCCGTACTCCTTTCCCCCCTCCCCCCCTCGACGGCGACACCCCTCCCCTTTCAAACGTGCCACTCATCAGCCAGACAGACCTGAATCCGCTCAAAGGTTCTGTCCATTCTCTACGAATCGCTTCGCCAACAGCATTTGCCCTCCACGAACCCGAGCGTACCCTGCCAGAAACGTCCTGGTCTCTTGTCGTCCATTCTATTTCTTTTCGATCGCATCTTTTATCGGCTCTACAGCGTACTGCACCATTGCCATCCATCCTCCCTTTCCGTCTTCTCCGTGACGACGTAGAACATCGACGCCTGCCCACATCACCCATCTCTTCCGACAGTTGCGAGGCTCCTCCACCAAGGCTTTGTCCTTGTCTATATCAGGCCTGTCAATATTTTGAGAGATCCTGTCCCTCATTCTGCTTGGGTATCCAACCAGACAAAGCGCTCTGGCCCTCCGACGTGCTTGAATCACTGGAGAGCTCCTGAACCAATTTCGCCATCGAGGGATCGTCTCGCCAACAGCCAGGTGTCAGACCTACAAAACTCGTCGACGGTGACGGTGGGATTGCTCGTAACAGTCCAAATCGACATCACATAACCACTCGTTATTACATACTGCCCCTACCCCCTTTCGGCCGCAGGCGACCTTCGATTCATTAGACGTTACTCGCCTTTCACTGTTCAAGCAGAGAAGTAACCGCAACCGCGACAGGCTCGATTCAGGCCTCGTTGTTTCTTTTCCCCAAGGTTAGCAGCCCTCGCCCTCCCGTACCCCGGAATTCCTCAACGCGAGACTTCTGTGCTACCCTGCTTTCCTTCTTGAACTTCGGCTGACCCGCTGCGCACCACAGATTGCTCTCTATCTCGCTGTCTACCTCACATTGAACGGTACTCGTAGCGTTACGATCCGCAACCCCGTTCCTTGTGAGCCTAGTCGGACAGGTCCACATTTGCCTCCCGACGGCTAAGAAAGGAATTCTTGTTGTGACCTGTTGTAAACTTGTCAGGAATATGGCTGCCTTGGTCCAGACCTACCCCCAACAGACTAGCACCGTTACCGTTCTCCAGGCTAGGCCGACAGCCAACAATATGCTTCCCTCTCAAGCTCATGCTAACCAGCAATACATGGCTGGCCAGCAGGCTCAGAGAAACTTCTCAGGCGGTATGGCGGGTTCCTCTGCCTATCGGGGCAGCGTTGGGCCCATCCAGCCCTATGTGTTCACAAGTGCTCCCAACCAGAACACGAACGTCTCGTATCAACAATACGGGGGCTACCGAACGGCATCCTCTCCTGCTGTGCCCACGACACAGAACATGACCTACGCGCACGATCCCAGGTCCAGATACGCAGCCAGCGGCCCCGTTGCATCGTACAATAACTCCATGGGTGCTGGGAAGAGTGGCTCGAGGGATGACTCGTCTATCCCCCAACCCCGAACCATCCAGCCTGCCCCGCGGCCTCAATCGGCATACCTGACAGGCGCGCCCATGCAAATGACGTTTGCTCAAGCCGCCGCAATGCGGCCAGCCCCTGATAGATACAGGCGCCCAAGTATCCAGCAGCAACAGCAGGTCCGACAGCACAGCGCCGGTCCCTCGGGCTCTGGCATGGCCGCCATCGGTCACCACTACAGCGCTCATGGCACAACCGATAGGACGAACGCTCCCGTCGTCGGCTCCCGTCGCCCTGCAGCCAACAATCGACCCAGTAGTTATTACAACCCTGCTGACGATCTGCAATTGAATCGCCAGGCCGCTGAGGACGCCAAGCGTCCCAGGCGACGCAGCGTCCACACGCTCGATTCTGCCGACCAGCCTAAGTCTTTAGCCCCACAAGAGGTGGCGCCAACCCAAGAGCGCGTCCCAACACCCAAGAATGGCAAAAATGGGGAACAGAAATCCCTCCGCCTTGTGCCTGGTGAAGCCAGCACCCACATTCGCAATGGAAGCTCTGAAAGCCTCGTTTCCAGCCGGAGCAGTCACTCTCGACCAACATCAGTAAGTACAGATATGCCCAGTTTTCAATGTTGCCTCCCTCGGCCGATTGCCCAATCACGTAATCCACCCGGCTGCAGGTAACCCTGCAATCAGCCTGCTAACAAGGATGTTTCCTCCAGTCCGCCAACCGCAACGTACCAGCCCCCACTGGCAACCCCTCCTCCTTGTCCATCACTTCGAATCCTGATGAAGGGTCAGTGAAGCAAGACCACCCCAAACTTGTCAACATCCCTCCCCGAAACTCATCGTCAGATGCTTCCAAACGTACCCTCAACCCGTCCCCCCTCTCCAGACCGGTGACCATGGGCGACACGGCTGCGCAGAAGACGGCTTCCCCTTCAGGCGAAACTCCGCAGCAATCGGCGACCAACATGAGCAGCCCAGCTGCCCAGCACCTGGCGGCTATCAACCAGAAGGGTGCCAGGTCGAAGAGCAAGACGTCGAGGCTGCGACGAGCCTTCTCTTTTGGCAGTGCCGCTGATTTCAAGAAGGCTGCCGAGCCCAGCGGCGAAGCGACTGCTGATGCTGCCGCCACAGACAAGACCGAGCCGTCCCGTCTGCACAAGGAGCCTAATGCGGACGAGCTCTACGATGCGGAGCAAGCTGCGATCGCGAAGAAGCAGGAGGAGGGCGGTCTCGGCAACAGTATCTATGGTGGAAGATTCTTTACTGGTTCTACGGACAACCTGTCCGTCTCTTCGACGGCGTCGTCGGCGTCCATCATGATCCGGAAGATGGGCCGTGGGATGAAGAAGAGCACTCGCTCGCTGGTCGGACTATTTAGGCCCAAGTCCGTCGTTGGAGTGCCTGCTGCGGACGGCCCCCTGACGCCCGAGGGCAGCCAGGCGGCCGTGTCGATGATCACAGTTGAGGCTGAGAGAGTCAATGTCAACCCTGATCCCAAGGCCCAGAACGGCGGCGGCACTGGCTTCCCGCACCTGGAGCGTAACTCGATGGATCTCTCCAACGCACCCAGCATGGTCTCTGAACGAGAGCGGTTGGGAAGTTCCGGCACAGACAACTCTGGCAATCGCAAGAGCATTGTTGGGGGAGATCGTGAACGCGCCGAGGTCTTGGCTGCCGTCCGCAAGGGCATTCTCAAACACAATGCTGGCGCCGCTAGCCCAGCACGCGAGAAAGGTTCGCCTTTCGAGCTCCCTGTCATCCCAACCGTATCGGATTCGCCCATATCGAGCGCCCCCAGCACGCCCAACGATGAGACGCCTGGCCACAAGCGCACAGGGTCCGTTGCCATTGGCAGCGAAGATTACTTTGTCTCGGCACTGAGGCTTCGTCAGGATACAAAGAGTGCACCGACGACTCCTCAGGGGTCTGCTAGGCGAAATGCCACCTTTTCGCCCAGACTCATCTTCCACGACACGTGGCCGAGCGGCGAGTACGATCGCAGGGGTGACATTGCCACTTGCAACCGCCTCACGCCCATGCTGGCGCAGCAAATCAAGGAGGAGCTCAACTCGTTCAAAATGGTGAGTTGACTATACGGCCCATGCTGGTTTGGCAGACAGATTACTAATACGACATAGGAAATGGAGGTCCACGAGAACTCGAAGATTTATACGCACTTCTTCTAACGACGGCTACGCCTCTTGAACAGCACGATGAAGAAATCTTGTCAGCATTCTGCTTCTTGATGAGGGGCTCTGGACCTGATTCATGTATTCGCACCTCATTTTCATTCCGTCCAAGGCGTTTGGGGTCAGCATAGTACGGTGTCAGGGCGTTTTTCCTTATCAAATTCATTTTCCTCTTTCTGAGATTCGCTCATTCTGCTCGACCAGCCGTATGGTCTCCTTCCAAGGGGAGTTCTGGATCAAAGACGTCGTTTGGCCAGTAATGTCAGAAGAGCGGCCGACAGTGTCAAACATGTGGCGTCGGCTAGAGCACGCAAGACGAGGGCCAGAAGACGGCCTGTCTGAAGCTGGACAGACTCACGAGACGAGAGTCCGTGGCGGTCAGCACAGCATGCACACATTGTCTTAGGTTGGCTCGGGCCAACAAGGCCTTGATGCGGCGCCTACCTGAAAAGGCTGGCTGAGGCCCGGCCCGAGGCTCCCTCGCGCGGGTTTTCGCGATGGGTCATCGAGAAAAAAAAGACGGCAGGCTAGACATGGCAGCAGTAGTAGCTGGCAGGGGAGGATCAGGTTCGGTCTCGAGTCTTACTTTCACTTATTTCGCGTTTGAGACCCATCTAGTGCAATGGAAGAAAAAAAAAACAAGAAAACAGAAGAGCGTGTGGTTCTCTCATCAGCAAAGCTGTATTCATTTCATCGAACCTTGCCATGATGCGGTGAAGTGAGTGGTAGTACGGTGAAACTACTAAGGTACAGGCAGTACATGTACGTAGTGAGCACCTTACCTGAAGGCACCTGCTATGTAGCCAGGTACCTAGGTAGGCAAGCCAAGCGAGCCAGAGGTGGTGTGCGAGTGAGACGGATGTGCTGCTGGACGATTGCATGATGCAGATGTGGACGAACCATGTCGTCAAGTTGGCCGGGTTGGCGATGGGATGGCTGGCTGACTGTGTGTGCAGCCGATGAGCGCGTTCCCGTGTTCCAAGCAAAGGAGATGGTGGTGGGGAGGCATCGGATCTCGAGGCCTCTCTGGTGTGGTCTGCTGCCATGCCGTTGGTACATGGTACTAGCGCAAGACAGCGATGCATGCGTGCCGGTCCACGGTCTCTGGATACGAAGAGAACTGTGGCTGGTTACGTACCTAGGGTAGGTTGGATCAGATCAGACAGCATGCGCTTTCTCGGCCCTGGAGGTACCGGTACATTGCTTTCTTTGCTTTTTTGTGCACGATGAGCTGCAGCACAAGGCTGCTTTAGGGTGATAACCCCCAATGAACCCCCACATGCCGATCACCCCTCGCTGCTGCGCGGCTACTGGCGGCAAGCGCCCGATTCCTCAGCCTCGTCTCCCCGCGATCGGGGACTAGGGGGTTTCATGATTGACGCAGGGCAGCCTGTGTGAAGGTGCCATCCTTCTTTTTTTCCCTCTGCTCTCCGAAACAGTCGAACTTTGCCTTTGCGTGAAGCAGCTGGCCGGCACGACATCTCGGTTCTACCCCATTTCTAAAGACGGACTTGATTCTCTCATCCCGAAGCCCGACATTTCGACTATTCACCATCATATCGACAATTCCTCACCGTGGCGAGACTCTGGTGGCTGTCAAGCCCTTCGAGCGCGCGGCTGGTCCGATCCTTTGCTTCGCTGTCTGCGCCCACAACGCCCATGGCGACTGATGCGAATGGCGCACCGGCGGCAGTTGCGGCGGCCGCCGCGCACCCCAACGCGGTAGAGCCGGGTCCGGGTAAGGCGGTCCTGCGAGGGCGAGCCTTTTACGAGAGCATCGGCAGCCCGAAATATGTGGTTGCGCCCATGGTGGCCCAGTCCGAGTTTGTACGTCTTCTGCCCTCTCAGCCAACGTCTTGGCTTCTGCTGACTTGTCGGCCACAGGCCTGGCGCATGCTAACTCGATCTTTCCTGCCGCCCTCTGAGCAATCGAGTATCTTGGCCTACACTCCCATGTTCCACGCACGCCTCTTCAAAGAGACGGAATCCTATCGAGAACAAAACTTTCAGCCTGTCAGACCCGGTGTCTCTGCGGCTTCCGAAGCGACGACGCCCACGCCCACGCCCTGGCTCGACGGCAACCCGACGATCGACCGTCCTCTCTTCGTCCAGTTCTGCGCCAACGACCCCGAAGCCCTCCTCGGTGCCGCCCAGCGCGCCGCTCCCTACTGCGACGCCGTCGACATCAACTTTGGCTGCCCCCAGGGCATCGCGCGCAAGGGCCACTACGGCGCGTTCCTCCAGGAGGACCAGGACCTCGTCTTCCGGCTCGTCAACACGCTGCACCGCCACCTGAGCATCCCCGTCACGGCCAAGATCCGCATCCTCGACACGCGCGAGGCGACGCTCGCCTACGCCCTCAACGTCCTCCGCGCCGGCGCCTCCATCCTGACGGTGCACGGCCGCCGCCGCGAGCAAAAGGGCCACCTGACGGGCCTCGCCGACTGGAGCACGATCCGCTGGCTGCGCGACCAGCTGCCGCCCGAGACGGTGCTCTTCGCCAACGGCAACATTCTCGAGCACGGCGACCTCGCCAGGTGCCTCGAGGCCACGGGCGCCGACGCCGTCATGAGCGCCGAGGGCAACCTCAGCGACCCGGGCCTGTTCGCGGCGCCGCCGGCCGACGCCGACGCCGGCCGGGCGTACTGGCGCGGCCGCGACGGCAAGGGCGGCTGGCGCGTCGACGAGGTCATGCGCCGCTACCTCGACATCCTGCACACGTACGTCGCCGGCGCGGCGCCGCCGCGGAGGCGGCCGCTGTTCCTGCCGGGCGACGATGCGGCATGGCTCGACCAGCCGGAGGACGACGACGCCGAGCAGCCGGCGCGGAAAAAGGTCAAGCGCGACGGCGGCGGCAAGAAGAAGGACAAGGTGACGAGCCCCAACTACGGCGGCATGCAGCCGCACATGTTCCACCTGCTGCGGCACTTTGTGTCGCGCCACACGGACGTCAGGGACATGCTCGCCAAGGCCCGGTCGGGGGACCTCGAGGCGTACGAGGCCATCCTGGCGGCTGTCGAGAGGAAGGTTGCCGAGGGTCTGCTGGAATACGAGCGGACGGACGGCAAGATGTTTGACGAGGAGAACGGTGTCACGGCTGCTGCTGCTGCTGCTGCTGCTGCTGCTGCTATGACGACGACTACGACGACGACTACGACTGCGGCTGAGAGCGCACAGGACGAGACGCTCGACGGCGAGAGCTCCGTGGCCACGGTCAAGCGGTGCAAGCGGCCGTGGTGGGTCGTGCAGCCGATCGTCAGGCCGCTGCCGAAGGAGGCACTGGCCAAGGGCGCCATCAGGCCAAGCAAGAAGGACCTGCAGAAGCTGGCGGAGGAAGAGGAGGCGGCGAGCAAGAGCCGAACGCTGACACCGGAGGGACAGCCTGTGGAGGGCAAGGGGCTGGAGGGCAAGGGGCTGGAGGGCAAGGGGCTGGAGGACAAGAGGATGGAGGACAAGAGGCTGGAGGACAAGGTGTTGGCTACAGACGACAAGCTGTTGGCAGGATAGGCTTGCCGCTGATCGAGAGGAAACAAGAAAAAAATCTAGAACCAACTGAAGCATTGTCAACCAATTGTGGCATTGTTATCCAATTGTGGTATTTTCAACCAATTGTGAATTATTGTTTTTTCCCCAGTTCAGCTGGTCTTGCTGCTCCGGTAACTCCTGATCATGTCCCAAAGCTAGAGCTTGGATTTCGTGCTGTCATACCGCTTGCCCTCGTCATCCTGCTCCTTGACCCTGATGTCTGGCAGCTCCGCCGGCATGATCCGCCTCGGCGTCGCCCCCTCGACGAGGTTGTACTTGGCAAAGTCCGTCACGCCCGCATAGTCCCTCAGAAAGTCCTCGTCCAGCAGCAGCTCCCCGTTGACCTTTTCAGCGGGGGCCTTGAGAATGGCGAGCACGGCGTCCGAGAAGATGGTCGCCTTGCGCAGGTCCTTGGCCTCCTCGGGATCCGCCGCGGTAAACTTTTCCGTGGCCGCCGACTCGATGCCCTGTTCCACCCGTCAGTAGGGTCCCCCCGACCAAAGAAGAAAAAAAGGAAAAAAGGGGGGGGAAAGGGAAAAAAAAGGGAAAAAAAGGAAAGAAAAAGGAAAAAAAGGACATTATCCGGGTAGAACTCACAACGGCGGGCCAGAGGCTCGTAATGGCCATGCCCCGCCCCTCGCGCACGAAATCCATGGCGAGCCCCTTGGTCAGCACGCTCATGCCGACCTTGCCCATGGCGTAGGCCGTCTTGCCGCGGAAGAAGCGGCTGTAGATGGGCGGGCTCACGACGACGATGCGGCCGGCGGTGCGGGTGAGGTGGGGCAGGGCCGACTGGACCGAGGCGTAGAGGCCCTCGGGGTTGACCTGCTGCAGCAGGCGGAAGCGCTTGAAGGGCGACGAGGCGACGGGGGCCCACCAGGCGGCGCCCGAGTTGTAGACGAGCAGCGAGAGGGCGCCGTAGGTTTCGAGGGCGCGGTCAACGAGGCGCTGGATGCTGGCCGGGTCGCGGACGTCGACGGCGATGGCTGTGGCTTCGTGGCCGGCTTGCCGTATCTCGCGCTCGACCGTGTTGATGGTCGACGCTGGCGAGTTGGGGTTGGGGGGGAAGGGGGAGGCTGTCGAGGCGTCGCTCGTCGTCTTGGCGGCCACGACGACTGGGGGTTGTCGATTGTTAGAAGCCGGTACCATAGGCCAGGAGACGAAAGGAGTCGGGTTCAGGGAGTCTCACCTGCGTACCCGTCTTTGGCGAGATCAATGGCGATTTGTCTGCCGATGCCGCGGGAGGCGCCGACGACAATGGCGACGGGCTTTGAGGTCATGGTGAGGGTTTCGATTCTGAGGATCAGCGTAGGAGCCAGATGAGGGGAGGAAGGCAAGAGAGGTTCCTGCTGATGTAATGTAAGCGCAATCAAACACATAAAATATGGCAATCCATATGAAGTAAGAAGACTATGTGCATTCTTGTACTCAAAGCTAACCATCACGCAATCCTACGCCCGTCGGCACGGAACTGGACATGGTGAGAATCCGGGGTAATGATTACTGAACTCGGATGGAGTGGAGGTCATGGGCATGGGGAGAGGCGATCGAAGCCGAGGCACTTGCGTGCGCACCCCACCGTCACCTCACACCAATTGCGGCTCATCACCAGCAATCATCACCCTTGATCGGCTTGCGCTGTTGAAGACAGAGAAGCCTTTGGGACCGAGACCTTGGGACCGAGACCTTGGGAACCGAGTTTCCTTATTAACACAGCAGGAGCAAGAAGCCCCCCTCCACCGTCTTGTCAGCACATCATCACGCCATACCTTTCGTACCTACGCCCAACAGCCCAATCACCACCCAAGACGACCCAAGGCAGCTCAAGTGCCGACAGCCGAAATGGGCGGCAGAATCGATGCCTATCTCGACATTGGTACGCTCATCAACTGTCGAGCAACTTACATGCAACACGACTGACAGATTGGAAACCCAGCGTCGCTCTACAGCTACTTCACCATCGAGGAGCTCCTGAAGAACAAGGACCGCCTCGCCGCTCACGGTGTTCAGGTTGACCTTCACCCCGTCCTCCTCGGCGCCATCAATGTTGGATCCGGCAACAAGCCCCCCTGGACCCTCCCCGCCAAAGCGACATATGGCAACTTTGACAGCCACCGCTCTGCGGTCCGTGTCGGCCTCAACAACATCTCACCCCCCGAGGACCTCATGGCCGACTCGATGACTGTCGTGCCCCTGCGTGCCTTGTATGTCATCAAATCAACATACGGGGAGGCTGCCTTCCTGGCCACCTTTAGGTACCTCTTTGAGGCTTTCTGGACGGCTCCGAACAAAAAGGTCGCGAAAGAGGCCGTCCTCGCCGAAGTGCTGGCTGACGTGCCGGGCCCCCGTGGCGGCAAGCTCTTCTCCGCCGACGACGTGGAGCGTATCATCAGCGGCGCCAAGACACAGGAGGCCAAGAACACCCTCAAGGCGCAAACGCAAAAGGCGATCGACCAGGGCGCTTTTGGTGCGCCGTGGTTCTGGGTCACGAACCCCCAGGGCAAGGAGGAGCCTTTCTTCGGCAGTGACCGCTTCCACTTCATCTACAAGTTTCTCGGCCTGCCCTTCCAGGATATCTCTCTGTTGCCGCCGGGGGAAAAGGCCGCCAAGTTGTGAGCAGGGCAAGGCGTTTGTTGGTGTATGCAGGATAAAAATGGGGGGAGGGGGGGTATCTTTTTGTTCATGATCATCTCGTAGTCCCGACAGCGAGTAGCGCAAAAAAAAAGAAAAAAAAAAGAAAAAGCATGCCACCCGATCACACCCGTCCCGCCATGCGTGCCCGGTATGCCTCTTCCTCCCGCAGCGCCTCGCTCCGGGCCAAAAAGTCCTGCCGCCCGGCATACGAGTCCTTCGACCGCCCCGCCAGCTCGAGCTCGTCCTTGAGCCCCTCCTTGTCGACGTAGCCGGCCCAGTCCATGCGGCTCTTCTCCACCGTGTTGAGCTTCTTCGCCTCCTGCGCGTCTCGCTCGTCGCGCGCGCGGATCCGCACCGTCACGCCGAGGTTGAGATCCCCGCGCGTCGGCGCCAGCACGTCGACGACGGGCTCAAACGCCGACCGGAACGCCCTGCGCAGAACGCGAGGCGCGTCCCGCTCGTCGGACGCCGACGTCGGCGCCAGCACGTCGCCCTGGGCGGCGAGGTGGAGCTTCGCCTCGGCCGAGTCGCGCGGCACGAGCTTCTCCTCCGTGTGCACCTTGCCGGCAAAGTTGTAGGTGCGCTTGATGCGGATCATGGAGGACGACGGGTCGTCCGTCTCGGCTTCGGGGGCCGCGCGTGCCGCGCTCGGGGCGTCGACGTCCATGGCATCGGCCGCCTCGACGCGGGGGGCCGCTGGCGCTGGCGTGCCGGAGAGCATCTGCGCCCAGAGGGCGTCGACGTCGACGGTGACGGGGCCGGCGATGGCGGCGGCTTTCCTCTCTCCCTTCCTGTGCTGTCGTTAGCTCGTTCCTTCTTCTTCTTCTTCTCACGCATCTTCGCTGGGGGGGACGCATCTTCGCTCTTCGCGGGGGGGACGCACTCTTGCGCGCGCATGCTCCTCGTCTTGACGAGGCCGCCCTCGCCGCCCTCTTCGTCGCCGTCACTGTCCGCCGCGGTGCCGTTCTGCTCCTTCCTGCGCTTCTTCTTCTTGTTGCCCTTCTTCACAATCGCCTCGTCGCCCGAGTTCTCGAACCCCGCGTCCTCGGCCTCGTCGCCCGCGGCGGCGGGCCGCTTGCGCCTGGTGGCTGCGTCGGCATCGTCTGCGTCTGAACCGCCCGAGTCGTCGTGGGCCAGGGCCGCCTCGTCTTCGGGGGCAAAGTCGGAGTCCTGGGAGGACTCGTAGTCGTCGTCCTCGTCGATTGGGCGCGGGTCGGGCGGCATGGTGGGTTGTGGCAGCAGTCGGCAAGGGTGGAGTGTTGGGGGCAGGATGGAGCGAGGAGAGCGAGGAGAGCGAGGAGAGCGAGGAGCGCCAGGAACCGCGAGCACGATGAGAGATGTACACCGAGGCGTTCGGTGTGGTCGGTGAAGGCAGCACAGGCGCTCTAGGTAAGGTACCTACCTAAAGGTACCTACAAAATCAGTCGGAACGACCACACTTGTCTGTCCTGCAGAAACTCGGTACCAAAATCTCTTACTGGGTTGTATGGATTGTAACGTGCTTATTTCATCTCGCCAATTGATACTGTTCGCTGAAGTCCACGCCCATCTACACCTCATGCACCGTACGTACCGTATGCCACTTCTCCCCGAAACAAATCACTGCATGCCAGATCCCACCCACTACCTATCTGGCACACCTCGCACTAACTTGAGAGGGGGGGGTGGCTCTCATTTAACCGGCAAACTAAGGACATGAAGCTCCTCTGAAGCAGCGATTTCGCCTTTCTAGTCATAGAAATCTCAAGAGCTGATGGGCGGTCCTGACACCAAAGCTGGCCCTATCAATGGAGCTTCCTGTGATGGTCGGAACGTCGGCAGCCTAGGTGACCCAACAACCGCGTTACTGGTCGTCAGAATCCAATCGGGCGGCGGTTAATAGCAACATCCCGCCTTCTCGACAATGACATGTCATGACTTCCCCGCAACGTGGGCCTGGTATATACTCACCACTTGGGGGCTGTGAATGTTGGAAACAGCATACTTCAACTTCCTTGAGCCACGACACTGCAGAGAAGTTATTATTGCCCCGTGCGAGAAAATTCGATCAAGAGCGAAGACTCGTCCCATTCTCTCCTCCAACCTACCGATTGCTCGGGCACAATGGTCGTGCCTGACGAAAAGGTACCCTCCGTCGATCCCCCGACCTCATCGGACACCCGCACAAAGGCTGCACCTCTCACGGACGCCCAGAAGGAACACTTTCGCGCCCATGGTTGGCTTCGTTTGACAGAATGCTTTACTCAGGAGCAGGCCGACTGGGTCAATAAAGACCTCTGGTCCCGCCTCGGCATGGACCCAGACGACAAGTCATCCTGGCGAGCACGCACCCACATGCCCGCCCATCGCAGTTTCGATGCCCACGTCTTCGCCCCGAAAGCCTGGTCCGCCATCACCGAGCTCTGCGGCGGCGAGGACCGAGTCGTCCCCGAGAGCCGCCAGTGGCGCGACTCTCTCATCGTCAACCTGGGCAGCCCCGAGTTCGAGGACAAGCACGTCCGTCCCCAGGACCTCGACAACTGGCACGTCGACGGCGACTTCTTCGTCCACTACCTCGACTCCCCAGAGCAGGGCCTCCTCGTGATCCCCCTCTACTCGGACATTGCCCCCGGCGGCGGCGGCACCGTCATCTGCCCCGACGCCATACCCAAGGTCGCCCGCCACCTGCACGACCACCCCGAGGGCGTCTCGCCGCACATGGTGCCCCGCGGCGCCGCCGGCTTCTCGCAGGAAACGGGCCTCGGCTTCTTCGCCGACGTGGCGCGCGGCTGCGACGATGGCGCCTTCGTCGAGGCCCAAGGCGCCGTCGGCGACGTCTTCCTGCTGCACCCGCTCATGCTGCACTCGGCGTCGCGGAACCCCCTGCGCCGCCTGCGCGTCATCACGAACCCGCCCGTCTTGCTGCGCGAGCCGCAGCGCTTCGACCGCCGCGACGCCGCCTACAGCCTCGTCGAGCAGGTGACGCTGCGGGCCCTGGGGGCGGAGGCCCTTCCCGGCTGGCGCATCGCGGCGCCGAGGGAGCTTCGTGTGCCGAATCGCCTCAAGGTGCAGCAGAGGATGAAGGAGGAGGCGCTGAGGAGGCTCGGCGCCGGGGCTGAGCGGCCGGGGCCTGAGGTTGCCGTTCCTGCGGCGTGATGAGCAACATGTCCATGATGTGTATCTCGGTCTAGCCACTCCTTTTTTTCGTATCTTGTATACTTTGAACAAAACATGTTGGCGTACGCGGTTACTAGGTTTTCGTACCTGATGTATAATGTGCCGCCCGACAAAGCTGCTGGTATATGCCTGAAACGTTGCGTTCTCTTATTGAAGGGTCTGGTGAAGTGAGATACGTCACTTCATGTTGAATAGAGAGCAACAAACAGATCCGTGACGCCAAATCCACCTAACGAGAATACACCAAGCCATATGGCTAACGTGAGGGAGGGAGGGGGGGCTCGCTTATCGATGCAGACATGAGACACAAGCATGCCAAGTCGAACAATTGGAGCCCTAGAAACAGATACTTGTTGTAGAGCCGTCATGACAGCAGGGTGGCTTTTGTAAGAACACAGGTTCAATCCGCGCTCCAGTTCACCCAGAAGGTCCTTCATGCTCACAAAATGCAGGGACGAAAGGAGTCATGCTGAATGACATTTTTCTCACAAAAAGGACCAATGCAGCCAATTGCAGAACCATAGGGATAGAGCCTTTGCGTGTGTGATCTACAGGGTCCTTCAGGAGAGGTAGAGGTGGTTGGGCCTTTACTCACATCATATCCCCGGAAAGGCAGACAGTGCAAGAGACTTCCGGTCTTCAAAACGACGAGCGTGTAATCAGATTCTCGCGAAGAAAACGTATCTCGTAATCACACCGACCTCCATGCTGATCCCTAAGGTACCTTGCACAAGTCATGCAATCAGGTTGGTCTTTATTATGTTCCATTGTCAGTGGTCATCCTCCACTCCGGTGGGCCAAGATCATATATCGCGTTGGGTACAGATAAAGCCGGATAGGTTAGGAAACCGAGACTCCTAGTCTCATATGTAGACTGCATGGAATTCCAGCAAGGTTCTCTCGTCTCGTCCTCTTAATCCCAAACCAAAGAGGCAGCTTGATGACTGTTCGTGATCATGGACATCTCGACATGGTCCGTGCTGGCTGACATCACTGGAACTTAAGAGGAGTTCTCCTCGGGCAGCCCGACGCCGACGCCCAGTCTTGCCCTCTGTAAACGCTCCCCCCCTCTTCAGACGCGGTGCGACACCTTCTCTCCCCCCTCTCACTGTTTGTCCGCCTTTCAGCTCTTCCTCCCCCGCCGCAAATCGCCACAATGAGCGACAGTGACGATTATTTAGTCGAAGAGCCTGAGCTCGCCGCGGATGACCCTATGCGAACATTTCTTCCTACGTCATTCGGTACCAAGACAAAAGAAGCCAACATACAGGAGCAGCTAGAGAGGAGCAGGCGAAAAGCAGCAGGTCCGCCACCCGATAGGCCAAAAAAGAAGTCCGGCTCAGCAAGTGACAGCGACAGCGACAGCAACAGCGATAGCGACGACGACAGCGACGATGACGACGAATACCCAGTCTCCCACGAGCTGGTGCTGAAGACGCACGAACGGGCTGTCACGAGCTTCACACTCGATCCCACCGGCGGTCGCCTGGCCACGGCCTCGATTGACGGAACAATCAATTTACACGACTTTGCGGCCATGACGCCGACGACGCTGCGCGCCTTCAAGACTGTCGACCCATGGGCCGCCAAGAATGCTGCTGCCAGCGACGAGTCGCACCCGATTCACCACATTGAGTTCAACAGTTTGGCAGGGAACGCCTTCCTCTGCATTTCGGCGCATCCTCAGGCGAAGATTATCAGCCGCGAGGGAGATATCCTGACCGAGTTTGTCAAGGGAGACATGTATCTGCGGGACATGAACAACACCAAGGGCCACATCTCCGAAGTCACGACGGGGTACCTGGCATCCGACAGAGAGGAATCTGTGCGTGACGGCAGGAACCGACAGCACACTACGCATCTGGGACATCAACAACAAGCGATCACAGAAGGAGGTCATCGTCTTCAAATCCAAGGCGCAGGGATCAGCGGGTCGTACGCGCATGACGGCTGTCGCATGGGGTGCGCCGGCACAAGGGAACGGCAATGTGCTGGTCGCAGCAGCGTACGACGGGACGCTGGTCATGTACAGCGGCAACGGCCCATTCTCGAGGCCAGCAGCCGAGGTACACGAGGCGCACAGGCCGAATACCTGGACTGGCGGTATTGACATATCGTCAGACGGACGGATGGTCGTCACGCGAGGAGGCGACGACACCATCAAGCTGTGGGACACCCGGAAGCTCAAGACGCCGCTGGTGACGGTCGATCACCAGTCGACGTCGGACCAGTTCAACATGACGAACATCAAGTATGCACCCAACTCAACGAGCATCCTGACGGGCTCAGCGACAGGAGACCTGCACATCTTAAACCCGGGGAACCTGCGACCGGAGCTCGTCACTCCGATCACGCCGGGATCGCCGCTGATCACGGTGGATTGGCACCCAAAGATCAACCAAATCATTACGGGATCGGCCAACGGTGAGACGCATGTCTTGTTTGACCCGACGAGGTCCACGCGCGGTGCAGTCGACGTCATGTCGCGCGCCCCGAAGAAGCGCCACATTGACGACAACTCGGCGCTGACAATGGACATGTCGGCGGGTATCTCGGGCGACTCGATCGTGACACCAGGCGCCATGAACAACAGCAGAAAGGCTGGACGAGGCAAAGAGGTCATGCGGCCGGAGGCCCAACAGCAAACGCCGTTCATGAAGAACCAACCCGATTCGAAGCACATTGCGGAGAACATCCCACTGGCTCGCATGCTGCATGAGGATCCCAGAGAGGCGTTGCTGAAATATGCCGAAGCCGCGCAGAAGGATCCTCAGTTTACGGGTGCTTGGAAAGATACGCAGCCGGTCACGCAGTATGCCGAGTTGAGCGACGATGAAGAGGAGGGGCCAGACAAGAAGAGGGCAAGGAGGTAATTGGCCCGACCCGGAATTCGGTATTTGCGCAATCGGAAAGCAAAGATCAGGCATGTACCTACCTTGTGTATGGCTGGCAGTAGCGTCTAGATACCTCATGTAGGAGGTACCTTACTGTAGATGCTGCGCCTTACCGGGCCCTGCGTCCACGCGTCCCCCAAACTCGCCCTGGAATAAGGGGGGGATTGGGGGCCACGCAGGCTGGCGGATGCGGCAACCGACAACTGGACTGCCCTTGGAGAGGGAGGAATGATGGTCGACTGGTTGCGGATAGGTTCCCGCATCGTGGTTGGTCAGAACACCCGCAGCGAGTGGATCCAGTGCACCCTGGAAGGTAGCTGCTTAGGTAACGCCCGTAGCGTGATCAAATTTACGGTCGGGCCGCTTTTTGCAGCACCGCACCAACCATCCCACTCCAATCTTGTCTTGTGGTCTTCACCTCTCCAGCCAGGTCCAGGTCCAGTGTCAGCCTGAGTGTCCCATCATCAACCGGCGACCGCGCGCATCGAAAAATCGCCAGTCCACCCCCGACGCCATCGACACCCATCGCCAAAAGTGTCCGGCAACCTTTCCCACGCGATTTCCCACCGCACTTCGCGACTCCCATTCCCTCGACGCGACTCGGTGCCATCCTCGCACATTTTTCCCACGCCCACGCCTGCCTCGCGAGGCCCCTACCACCACAACCCCCCAACCAATCCCTTCCCCACGCCTCGCGACCACGTCCACGACACACCGCGCCTCGGCCCCATCCACCGAGTCGATTGGCATTAATTCCAACGACGACGCGGCATCTCATTCGATCCTAACCACCCACTGTCGCTTGTGCTTTTGCATCAATTCGATAACATTCGCGTCACCTTGTCCTGAACGAACGCGCTCTAGCCTCCCCATCACACAGGCTCACGTTTCGCGCGATCAGGGCATCATCTGTAATTTTTACGCGACGTGGTCCATCCCGGACATCGCGCGTGCCCCACGACACCGTCCATCCAGACCCAACCCGCTTGGAGATGCACCCGAGATAGCCAAGTAGATTAGGGATTTCTCTTTGGTCACCAAGACTTTTGAGGGCACAGCAACCAAGATGGCTTCAGTACAGGTCCCTCCCGCCGTCCAGCACCCGGGCGCCGGGGGCATGCCCACCGGGCCAACACAGCAGCAGGCGCAGGAGGTGTTCATGGTAAGCAATAGTCCAGCCCAGCTCCACTCGTCGTCGTCGTCGTCGCCGCCGCGTCGACAATCGAAACTGCCCCGTCCTGTCCCGATACTGACTCTCCACTGCAGAAGCTCAAGGCCATGAAGGAGCGCGGCGTGCCTGCCAACGACCCCGACTATATCAAAGCGCAGCAGTTCCTCTACAACTTCCAGCAGCAGGCCCAAATGCGACAGAAGCAACAAGCATGGCTCGCGCAACAACAACAGGCCCAAGCACAAGCAAAGGCCGCCAACGGCGCTGTCAATGGCGCCCAGCCACAAAATCTGCAACAACCAACACCCCAGCCGACACAACAGGGCCTGTCTGCCGGCATCGGCGCGCCCAAGGGCCCGACAAACGCGACAGCGAGCTCGCCCTCTACACAAGTTGCCCCGAGTCACTTTACAACACAGCAGTTGGCTCTGCTGCGCCAGCAAATCTCAGTCTTTAAGTTGCTTGGAAAGAACCAGGGCGTGCCCGAACCGATGCAGCAAGCCATCTTTGCGCAACGCGAGCGCAGGAGAGTCATCGCTGCAGAGGCAGTAGCCGCGACTTCGCAGGCGCTTGACGCAGCTGATGCTAAGGGCGCCGATGGCGCGGCGGGAAAGAAGCCCATGAAGGAACCGACCTTCAAGACGGTCCTTTCGCCATTCGAGCCTGAAGGCCCAGTCCCGAAGCCTATCAGCTACTTCAACCACATGAAGGGCGAGAACCGCATCCTCCTCCCGGCCATCCTGCCTACTGGCGTTGATGTCGACCAGCTCAGGCGTGACAGGGAGATGAGCATTAATAACCGGATTCGCGACAGGTACCACGAGCTGAGGAAGCTGCCTGCCAATTTCGCCCACTGGAACGTCAACTCTGGGGAACTCACCCAGCCCGACGACAGCGCCAGGATCAAGGCCATCATTGAGATGAAATCTTTAGGTCTCTACAAGAAGCAATGTCTCTTGCGAGACAGGATCGGGAAGAGTATGATGGCGTACGACAACCTCGCCATGACGACAAACCGCAGCAACTACCGTCGCATGAAGAAGATGACGGTACGCGAGGCACGCATTACCGAGAAGCTCGAGAAGCAGCAGCGCGACGCCCGCGAGAGCCGTGAGAAGAAGCGCCATGTCGACTTCCTCCAGGCTGTCAGCCAACGTAGGAACGAGATGATGCAGACGACCAACGGCCAACGCAACAAGTCGAACAGGCTCGCCAGGCTCATGAACACCCAGCACACCAACATTGAAAAGGAGGAGCAGAAGCGCATCGAGCGCACAGCCAAGCAGCGTTTGCAGGCCTTGAAAGCCAACGACGAGGAGGCTTACTTGAAGCTGCTCGACCAAGCCAAGGATACCCGTATCACCCACCTTCTCCGACAGACCGACGGTTTCCTCAGGCAGCTCGCCGCATCCGTCAAGTCACAGCAGCGCAAGGCAGCTGCCGGCTACGACGAAGAAGAGGAAGAGGAGATGCCCATGGAGGATGACAGCGAAGCCGACTCGGACGAAGAGGAGAAGGCCAAGAAAATTGACTATTACGCCGTCGCCCATCGCGTCAAGGAAGACGTTACTGAGCAGGCTTCCATCCTCGTTGGTGGTAAGCTCAAGGAGTACCAGCTCAAGGGTCTTCAATGGATGTTGTCGCTATACAACAACAACCTGAATGGTATCCTTGCTGACGAGATGGGTCTCGGAAAAACCATTCAGACCATCAGTCTTGTTACCTACCTCATCGAGCGGAAGCTGCAAGACGGTCCTTACCTCGTCATTGTACCCCTGAGTACTCTTACGAATTGGACACTTGAATTTGAAAAGTGGGCCCCTTCTGTCACCAAGATCGTGTACAAGGGTCCACCGAACGCGCGAAAGCAGCAACAGGACAAGATTCGCCAAGGCCGATTCCAGGTGCTCCTGACAACGTACGAGTACATCATCAAGGACAGGCCGATTCTCAGCAAGATCAAGTGGTTCCACATGATTATCGACGAGGGCCATCGCATGAAGAATCAAAACTCCAAGCTCACGGCGACCATTCAGCAGTACTACCACACCCGCTTCCGTCTCATTCTCACGGGTACACCGCTTCAGAACAACCTAACAGAACTCTGGGCCATGCTCAACTTTGTCCTGCCCAACATTTTCAAGTCGGTCAAAACCTTCGACGAGTGGTTCAACACACCATTCGCCAACACGGGCGGCCAGGACAAGATGGACCTCACAGAAGAAGAACAGATTCTGGTCATTAGACGTCTTCACAAGGTGCTTAGGCCGTTCCTGCTGCGTCGTCTGAAGAAGGATGTCGAGAAGGACCTTCCGGACAAGACGGAGAAGGTCATCAAGTGCAAGTTCTCGGCCCTGCAGACCAAGCTGTACAAGCAGATGGTCACGCACAACAAGATTGTCGTGTCGGACGGCCAGGGCGGCAAGACTGGCGCTCGCGGTCTCAGCAACATGATCATGCAGCTGCGCAAGCTCTGCAACCATCCGTTTGTCTTTGGCGAGGTCGAAAACGTCATGAACCCCCTGAACATCAGCGACGACAAGCTCTGGCGTACGGCTGGCAAGTTCGAGCTTCTTGATCGTATCCTGCCCAAGTACAAGGCGACGGGGCATCGCGTGCTCATGTTCTTCCAGATGACGGCCATCATGGACATCATGGAGGACTATCTGCGTTACCGGAACTTCCAGTACATGCGTCTGGACGGTACGACCAAGTCAGACGAGCGATCGGACCTCCTGAAGGACTTCAACGCACCCGACTCGCCATACTTCATGTTCCTGCTGTCGACGCGTGCCGGTGGTCTCGGTCTCAACCTGCAGACGGCCGACACTGTCATCATTTACGACTCGGATTGGAACCCGCATCAGGATCTGCAGGCTCAAGATCGTGCGCATCGTATCGGTCAGAAGAACGAGGTCCGTATCTTGCGTCTTATCAGCTCCAACTCGGTTGAAGAAAAGATCCTGGAGAGGGCGCGCTTCAAGCTCGACATGGACGGCAAGGTCATTCAGGCCGGTCGTTTCGATAATAAATCGACCGAAACAGACCGTGATGCAATGCTGCGAACCCTTCTGGAGTCGGCCGACTTGGCGGATTCGGGCGACCAGGAGGAAATGGATGATGATGAGCTGAACATGATGCTGGCTCGAAATGACGATGAGGTGGCCGTCTTCCAGAAGATGGACGAGGAACGCAGAAAGGATGTGACGAACATCTACGTCGACGGACCTCACAAGAAGGGCAAGCCCCGTCTGCTCACCGACGAGGAACTGCCCGATATCTATCTCGGCGACGGCAACCCGGTGCAAGAGGAGGAGGAGACGGTGCTTGGCCGTGGTGCGCGTGAGCGTACCAAGGTCAAGTATGACGATGGCCTGACCGAGGAGCAGTGGCTGATGGCTGTCGATGACGACGACGACAGTCCCGAAGCTGCCGCAGCACGCAAGCAAGGCCGTAAAGAGCGACGTGAGGCCAACCGCCTCAAGCGAGAGGCTGGTGTGCAGGTCGACGACTCGCCAACGGCCAGCCGTGCCAGCAGCGAGGAGATTGAGACACCCAAGAAGCGCGGGCGCAAGCCTGTGGTCAAGGCAGTTGAGAAGCGCAAGGCCGACGACGGCGACGATGAGCCGCCGGCCAAGAAGAGACGCGGTCCGACAGGCCGCGGCAAGGCGGTCTCATCAGGTGCCAACTCTGTGCTGGCACAGCAACGCGGCCAGCTCAACAAGAGTCTCCGGTCGCTGTTCGACGGCCTCATGACGCTTGAGGTGGACGATCCCGAGCCTGTGCCGCCTGAAGACGACGAGTCGGATCCCGGCAAGCGCATCATTATTGGGCCTTTCCTGGTGCTGCCACCGAAGCGTGACTTCCCGGATTACTACATCTTGATTACGCAGCCCATTTCGATGAAGCAGATTGAAACCAAGATCAAGAAGGAGAAGTACAACAGCCTCGGCGATCTCAAGACGGACGTCGACCTCATGTTCTCCAACTGTCAAACGTACAACGAAGAAGCGTCGCTGCTGTACCAGGACGCGCAGACACTACAGGTGAGTTTATTCACTGCCAAACCCCCTCTCTCTTTTCTTGACCCTGCCACCTATATACTGACAACATTCTCAGAACTTCTTCCACGACGAAATGGCAAAGGAGCTCGAGAAGCACCCCGGCCTCAAGGAGCTCGAAGCGGATACGGGGAGCAAAGAGCAATCCGTGGCACCGAGCACAGGCGCAGCGACGCCACAGACATCAGCAAGCGGACCGACCAGGATCAAGCTCATATCTTCTTCGTCGGCGGCGGCGGCCAAGGAATCGGCCCCGGCTTCAGCGAACGGAGGCGGTAGCGACGCGGAGTAAGGGGCGAGCAGACGAGCAGGGGGGACGGAGTGTATGCAAAAGGCAGAGAGATGGCGTTCCTGGTGTTTTTCTTTTTCTTTTCTAGTTTTGTTTTCTTGGTTCTGACACTCTGGCGGACACTGGAAGGATCAAAGGGGGATCAATTAGGGGGATTCGGATGCGGGCCAGCATTCTTCCAACACAACAAATACCAGGATGCTGATGAAGAGGGAAGACGAGACGCGCGGCGGGGGTGGGCAGAGACGAGAAGGCGAAGGCGATGCAGCATGTCCAGCTTTGTGTGCTGTGCCACGCTGTGGCGTCTAGCATTAGAGTGGTGGCAGGCAAGGTGTAGTGTATTGTAATAGATGTGTACATGCAACAATGCCAGAGACGTAACTCGATCAATGGATGGGGGGTCGTGGTTGGGTGTGGGTGCTATGCTGTTGTGCCATGTGAAGATGGCCTACATGTATGTGTACTCGACGGTGGTCCGTGATGGGGGAGCGGGTGCTGCTAGGCTGTGGTGCGATGTATGCCACGTCAATGCTCATGTCACTGGCTCATGATCACTAGCCATTTGCTCCTGACAACTGGCCAGTCGCTCTTGGCCACTGCTCGAAGACAACAGCAGCAAGGGGCAGGCAGGACGAGGCAAGGCGAGGAAGGTGTCGTCAGCAGAGGAGGGAAAAGCAGGAGGCTGGGCCTTATTTTACCTTACCTTGGGGGCAGGTGGCCGGACGGGCGGTAAACAGGGGGCAGGAAACAGGGACAGGGGCCCGCACTCAGCGCAGAAGGAAGAGCACCACCACGGCAATCTCTTTCCCTGTTTCCCAACTGGGGGTCGAGTGGGCGAGAGGAGACCTGTCAACGTCGGGCTGCAGTCGCTGAGCCTTACTTACCTACCTACCTAGGGTACCTTAGGTACCTTACCCTTGCTCTCTCTCTCACACACACACCCTCTCTCGCTCACCAAACTTTTTCAGTATCGTCAGCGTCAGCAGCTTCATCTTCATCAGCGTCTTCCCCAGCAGATTTGCATCTACCGTGCCGGCGCGTTCCCGGACAATGGAATTGTGCACTACGCGATAATACGCCCCCCCCCTTTCTACGTCCTCGCCAGGCTTACAGCAGCAACATCGTCCTTGCTGAAACCGCCCCGCCTGCTGCACCTTCGCGGGCCCCTGCAGCCGCCCAATCAGCTCTTCATCGCAAAGAGCTCAGAAGCCATAGGCAGACGGCATAGCCACCTCACTCAGGGTGTAGACTCTTCAGCAAGAGAGCTTCAGTCTCCGGATTTTTTTTCAAGTCGGCAGACCAAGGCCGTTCGCAATGGCTGAGCGGGAAGGTCGCTACCGGCGCGATGCCGCGTCCGCCGTGCCTGATGACGATGATGACGACTCTTTTAGCGACAGCTTGTCTCCGAGCCCGCCACCTGTCAAGAAGAGACGAAGTCCGCCACGCGACCGCCCTGCGCCGGTGCCAATGCCGGTGCCGATGCCGGTGCCGATGCCGGCGCCGGAGCCTGATGTGCGCGAGAGGCTACGCGCAGAGGAGGACAAGTTTCGGAGGAGTCCTCTTGTCGGGGGCGGCTCGAGAATGGATGCTGCCAGTCCGAGGGTGGACCGCTACTCACCGCGCGTTGATGGACGCAGGGAAAGCCGTGCCGACGGCAGGAGGGAGAGCAGGCTTGCTGGTGCAGAGAGTCGACTTGATGGACGAGACAGTCGGATGGATGGCCGCGATAGTCGGGTCGATGGAGGGCATCGGGACTCGAGGCGAGACAGCCAGCGCGAGCGGGATCGCGACCGCGACAGGGATCGCGAGAGGGACAGGGACAGAGAGAGCCCACCGCCATTTTCGACCAAGAGGCAAAGCATTACGGATCGTCTGAGGAACTCATGGAACGCCCGTAAGGATGGTGCCCGCGACACGCCTCCCCCGCCCAACGCCTCCCTCAACAGGCCGCCCTCGCGGATGCACTCGCGCCGGTCCTCGTCTGCCGCTGCACCCTCCCCTCCAGGGCCTTCCTCCCAGCGACCGAGTCCCATCGCCAAGGTCCGCGAGTGGCTCGACACCTGCAACGGCGACCATGGAACACACTGTCACGGCGATCCAGGCGGGCCGGCAACGCCTCACTCGGATTCAGAGGACTCAGACCAAGAGTCCGTCCTGCCGCCGCGAGCACCAGGCGGACCGCCTACATACAGGCCCATCTGGCTCATTGACGCTGTCAGCCGCCGCCTTGTGCGGGCTCGCGCCCAGGACCGTTACATCGCCCTGAGCTACGTCTACGAGAAGACGCCCGCGCAGACCGCTGCCTCTGCCCACCGCCCCCGGGACGCGCGTCGGGAAAACGTGGACATGTTGACCGCCACGATCGATGATGCTTCAATGCCCCAAGCCATTGCAGATGCAATCTGGCTCGCCCGCAAGTTGGGTATCCACCACCTCTGGGTCGACCGTTTCTGCATCGTGCAGGACGATGATCTGGAAAGGGAGGAATATCTTCGTAACATGGCTTACGTGTTTGCCAATGCCTATCTTGTCGTCGTGGCTGCTGCCGGCGAGGATGCTGATACGGGCCTCAGCGCCCTCGTCCGTCCTGGCGGAAAGGCGCCGCCGCCTGTGCCCAAGGCTGCCTTGGGCCCGCCAGGCCGCAAAGGCCACGAGGACATGCTCATGGATACACGCTGGCGTGATCGTTGCTGGACCATGCAGGAAGGCTTCTATGGCCGGCGTGCCTTGTTTGTCTTCCAAGATACCATGACTTGGGAGTGTCACTGCGACACGTGGAACATGGCCGGCGACGGCCCCATAGCTGCCGCCGCGGCCTCGCCTGCCGTGGCCAAAGTCCCTGGCCTGCAGCGCATGCTCAGCTTGCGCTCGTCATCTGCTCCCAGTGGCCCGGCACGCCACCTTCACCGCAAGTGCACAGCTCGCGTGTATCCGGCTGCGCTGGCGTTCCGTCACACGCCTTGGCCTGATCTCGACGAGTACGCTCGCATATGTATGGACTTTTCTGCCCGACGCCTCGGTAATATTCAAGATACCCCAGATGCCTTCCGCGGCTTCACCACGGTTCTGGCACGCACCTTTGCTGGCGGTTTCGTCTGCGGCATGCCAGTCCTCTTCCTCGACGCCGCCCTTCTCTGGCGGCCTGCCGCCACCATACGTCGACGTCAGCTGGTTCCCACCATGTCCTCCGGCGGCATGCCGCCAGTACCCAGCTGGAGCTGGCTGGGCTGGTTCTTCGATGGTGCGGCAGCCGACATGACGCTCTGGCGGGCGGCCGCTGACTATGTCCTCGAGGCTGGCTCGGGCGTGACCCGCAATGGCAAGGGTGCTGGAGGCCCTGGCGAACGTGAAGGCGAGCCGAAGCGTCGGTACCGGTCGGCCAACTCATTCCGTCTGCGGACCACGACAGCCTTCCACATTACGGACCGGGCGACCACGGTGCAGGTCCGCAACGACGGCATGCGCTTCCGCAACACCCGCCACCATCGCAAGGGCGGCTCGGGCCTGCCGCTCGGCTGGAGCAAAAGCGCGAGTACGGGCGGCTTCCGCCACACGAGCGACCCGGCCGCCGTGTTCCGATACCCCATCCCGCTGGCGAGCAACGTGCCGGCTTCCGAGATGCCGATTGGCGGCGGAGAAGCAGTCTACCCTGGTACGCTGCTGTCTTTTAGCACAACGAGGGCCATGCTCGAAGTAGAATTTGCAGCACCGTGGCCGGCCAAGTCGGCAGGGGCCGACGGCATTCCTCTCGCCATTGGAAACCTGCTTGCGCCCCGTTCAGGGCGGTGGGTTGGCACGCTGCGCAGCCATGACTCGTGGCTCGGAGTGCAAGGGGCCAACTACGAGGGCGAGGAAGGCGGCGTCGAGGTCATAGCCGTCAGCGAAGGCAGCGAGCGACAGGGCCCCGGCAGCGACGTTTGGGGCCTTGGGTGCGACGTGGAGGAGATCAAGGCGAGCGCTGACCAAGATGGCATCGTTGAGTTTGTGAACGTCCTGTGGGTGGAGAGGGTGGGCGGCGTCTGCTATCGGCGGGGCGTCGGGCATGTACTGCGTCGCGCGTGGGAGGTCTTTGGGCGGGAGAGGCTCGATATCCTGTTGGGTTGACGCGAAGATGTGCGAGTCGTCTTTTCAGGGCGAGTGGTTTTGCATATCTCGGATGAATGAGTGTAGGATAGGGATTCATATACCCTGTGTAGATAGGAGGGAACAGCGTTGTGAGGCTTGTATTTGGTTGGGCTCAATGCAGTCGGTAAATTGGATAGCCGTGTGGGTGTAGAAATTCCAGCCCAACCATTTCACATTGTATACCTTTGAGCACTTGTTGCAAGAAGTAGGTCGAAATGCATGCGCGAGTCTGGGATGTTGTGTTCCGTGCCGATGAAGTCCCATCTGCTGCTCGCTTGCGTGGAAACCAGTGCTCATCTCCTCTCCAAGTACGAAAAAGGTGCCTGGGACATGTTCGTGCAGTTGCCCGCCCATGAGATGAGGCAGGCAAAAAAGGCAAAACGAAGTTGTTCGCACCAGGTTTCGAACCTGGGACCTTTCGCGGGTCACATGTTGTGATGTGAGGCGAACGTGATAACCACTACACTATGCGAACCGCTTGTGATGATTAGGAGACTGGGTTCCGTACTCATGACCTACGAGCTTGGAAAATGACGCAGGTTTCGATATGGTGTTGGTGGGGTGTGGCGGATCCAGCACGGTCATTTGTTCCGCAGCGTTGAGGATGAGAACCTTTGAAGGCAGACTTTGGTTTGAATCAGCCGGGAGACGTTTACGAAATCATGACCCAGTTCGGTTGAAAAGTAGGGGGAAGCTTCCTAAGGTCCAGTTTGGCGCAAAGTCATGCATTGGTTGGAAACCCCCAGCAGGATCCCAATCCCAGTGAGGGCTTAAAGCGGCGTGGAACAGCCGAACCGGAGCGGGACAACGTGCCCCACGACGACGGCAAACTCTCATCACGCACCTCACTCGCTGTTCACAGTCGCCTCCTCGGCATAGCTAGCACGCACGCGTCTCCCACGATGACACGATTCAGGCCCTGCATCGACCTGCACGCAGGCCAGGTCAAGCAGATTGTGGGCGGCACCCTCGACAGCACGACGACGGCGCTGCAGACCAACTTTGTGTCGCCGCACCCGCCGGCGCACTTTGCCGCGCTGTACCGGGACCACGACCTCACGGGCGCTCATGTCATCATGCTGGGGCCGGGGAACGACGTTGCCGCCAAGGAGTCGCTGAAGGCGTGGCCGGGCGCTTTGCAGGTCGGTGGTGGCATCAACGACAAGAACGCAAGGGAATGGATTGACGCCGGCGCGGACAAGGTATACTTTTTTCTTTTCTTTTCTTTTTCCAGAACCCCCTCCTTTACACACGAGACTGCTGAGAAGGAGAACGACGAGGAGGCGGAGGGGACAATGGCAATGATGGGGGGGATGCTAACGCACGATAGGTTATCATCACGTCGTTTCTCTTTCCCGAGGGCAAGTACAGCCAGGAGAGGCTCGATGCCGTGCTCCAGGCGCTCGGCGGCGACAAGCAGCGGCTCGTCATCGACCTCAGCTGCCGCCGGCGCGGCGACGACCGGTGGTTCGTGGCCATGAACAAGTGGCAGACCATTACGGACATGGAGGTCAACGCCGACAGCATCCGGCAGCTGGAGCCCTACTGCTCCGAGTTTCTGATCCACGCCGCCGACAACGAGGGCCTGCAGAAGGGCGTCGACGAGGCGCTCGTGCAGAGGCTGGCCGAGTGGGCCAGCATCCCCGTGACGTACGCCGGCGGCGGCCGCCACCTCGAGGATCTGGACGCCGTCAAGAGGCTCAGCGGCGGCAAGGTCGATCTGACCATCGGCAGCGCGCTCGATTGTTTCGGGGGCAACGGCGTGAAGCTCGAGGAGTGCGTGCTGTGGAACCGACAACAGCCCGACTCTGGCGCTTGAAAGCTGGTGGCTGGTTGTCTGGCCTCGTCGCACAGCTGGGGGGGCGGGGTACGACAGCCTTTGGTTGCCGTGGTTGTGACGCTTGCGTTTGACTGCGTCGGGCTGCGTTACAATGACGAGCGTCAGATGCTTGTTGGCAAAGAAAGGCAGAACAAAACCGTCGATACGAGAGAGAGGGGGAAAGCTCCAGTGTTTGGTTCCAAAACAAAGCCGAGCTAGAGCTAGCGATGACCTGCAGTAGCTGGTGCAGGACAAGGCAATCCCTCGGGTTGAACCTTGGAAGAGCCCAGATCGGGAGCTGAATGTGCAGCTGCTTGCATGCTAAAAGTCCGTCAGACTTGGATGGCAAAGCCGCTCGGATGTCGTGATTAGCGCGCGGGGCAGCCAGGTGAGAGGATTCAGATTTAGATGGGATAAAAGGGCCCCCATGTAGCGGAGGAGAAGACGCCGTGTTGGGAAGACGCGTGCTTACGCGACTTGGTGGGGGAGCAGGTATCTGGGTAGATAGATAGATACCTAGATAGGTAGGTACCTAGGTCAGGTTCCTAGGCAGGTCCCCGAGGTAGGACGTGTCGAATGCTCTACCATGTACTGCATGCTCGTTGAGCCTCGACTCGAAATCCAATGTTCACAAGCAAGGCATCGCAGTAGCAATGCCCCAACAATGTCGACAGGGATGGTGAAGGCTCGCTCAACAAAGCAGCTAAGCTGAAGGGCACACAATCGCACCATGTGCGTCTGCTTGCTTCTGGTCCACCCCCCCGGCTAGCTACAGCCCACTGGAGGTGCGGACGCTGCAGTGATCCATGCACAGCAAGGCCTTGGAGGCCTGACTCTCCCAGTGGATAGGTGGACGGTCCAGCGGTTGACAGGCGCTAGGGCGTCGCAGATAGGTGGGCACGTGCCGTAGTCTGCCAAGTCTGCCTCTGATTCCCTGCTACATGCACCCACTGTCTGTAGTATCGCTGCCGGGATGCCACCGTCGTCAGGGCAACCAATGCGGCAGTCCCCCCCCCAAGCCCCCCTGTGCCTCCTTCTCGCCTGTTTGTTTACCGTCATCACCCCGCGCTCCAATCATCCGACAAGGCGCACCAGCTCCTCCCTCAAGTGCCAACCGCCGCCCCCCTCTTGCTGCTGCTCGTCCTTCAACAACATAACAGACCCGTGGGCACCACACCAACCACATCTCGCTTCTTCCTCTCACCACTTGCCAGGAACGCTGTTGATATCATTCTTCCGCTATAGCGGTATTGCGATTGTCTGGCCCGTCTGTCGACCTGCCGTTTTTTTTTTTCACTTCTCCCATCCCGAACAGGACCATTCGCACCTTGCAAGCCTGTCCAGCATTCCAGTCAGCCGCTATTGCCTCGCGCGAGTCGATTCTCGTTCCGAAAACCCCTTGCGACCTTACCACCTCGGCCCACCAGCATCGATACCTCTGAGAGGTCGCCATGACATCGTAGCCAACAATGGAGAACGAGGAACCCGTGAGTGCTATGCCGTTGCCCTTCGTTGTCCCTTTGTCTCTCGGTTGATGATGGCCCCCCTGAACCCCTTGGCTGACCTCCTCCTAGGTGCACCCTTTGCGCATCTCCAAGAGCAGCTCTGTCGTCTCTTCCCCCAACAAGATGATGGCCAGCAGCCTGCCTCGCCCGCTCTCTGAGCTGTCGCCTTCCGACACAAGGCGAAACTCGCCTAGCTGGAACCAGAACCAGCAGCCCACAAAGGTGAGTCCTGTGCCCCATGAGTGTCTGAGACAGTACGAAAATAAAAGGGCCACTCGAGCTGACAACGATTTCCAGAAAATGGCCTTGAACCAGGACTCCTCTCCATTCCAGTCGTCCCCACTGGAAACCGCCTCGTCGCCCCGCCTGTTCTGGCAAAATCGCAACCTCAACTCCATCAGCACCGACGGACTCTACGGACGATCTGGCTCTCCTTCACCCACCCGTCGTTCCTCCATCGAGCGCCTGCAGAAAGCTTCTCGCGTCAAGAACAGCAACATCCTCGCCCTCGAGCAAAAGCTGGAGTACGACCCTACACGCCTACCTCAGATCGAGCGCCCTCTTGCTAAGGTCCAGGGAAATGCCTTTGGCGCTTCTGGCATGAGCGGTCTTCGCTCCGAATCCGACCGAACCGGCTTCACTCATTCTCGTTCCGACAGCAAGACAAGCATCCCCATCTACAGCCCAACATCGAGCCCAACCAAGGCCAACGCTGCCGCCCAGTCCTACTTTGCTCCAATGTCGGACGCCGACATCACCAACCCGCCTCGCACCCCCAGCAAGGACCAGGCCTCCCCCATCAAGTCATCTCTGTCCACCACCAAGTTCAAGTCGAGCGTTGACCAGGACAACGGCTTCTGGTCCGAGGACAACTCGTGTGACGACCGCGAGCTTCCTAGCGGACGAGCCCTGCACCGTCATGCGACCAAGAGTGTTACTTTCGACGCCGCCCCTCCACAGATCAACGAGTATGAGATGGCAACGCCTGACATCTCTTCCATCGGCACCAATTCTCGCGAGGGCAGTTTTGAGTCCAACGAGGACGAGATGGAGGACCATCTGCACCACCGCTTCGGCGACCACGATGCCGAGGACAGCTTCGACGCCTCGCTCGAAGATACGGATAAGACGCCTGTTGTCGGCCCAGATGACTGGAGGCAATCTGCCACGCGTGATGATGACCCCTTCGAGAGCAGCCCCATGCCCGAAGCGCGCCCTCATCAATATGCTTCCAACAGGCCGGCCCACCTGCGAACCGATTCTGCCAATTCGGCAGGCTCCGACCACCGTCCGCTGCCGCCTCTCCCTGGCCAGATGACGCGTCGTGATTCTGTGCCGTCTTCTCCTGGACTGTCTGCTACGGCCGAGAGGATGCTCGGCTCGCCTAGGAGCCTGCCCTCGCCCCCTCCTGCACTTGCGAGCAAGTCAGAGATCCAGAACATTGGCAATGGCAAAATGTCTCTTGAGGAGCGGCTCAAGCTTATGATGCTGTCCGACGATGTCAAGTCGGCTAATGAGCAGCAGAGGGAGCGCCGTCTCCGTCGCGGCGTCCAGCGCGACCGTCTCCAGAGCCCCACACCCGACCGTGAATCCGTCGCCTCAAGCATGCTCGAAGCTGATGAGCAGGATGACACCATCGGCGATCTTTCTGGTCTCGGTGATTACGAGCTGCCGCAGCGCATCTCGCGCGAATCTATCCTGCGTCGAGTGAATGGCAACCAACAGTCGCCAGGACGGGACTCAGAGTACCAGTTCTCCTCACCGCCTCCGAGCTCGAGCCCTGAGCGTGGGCCTGATCGCCGCCTTGCTTATGATCCTGACGTTCCGATTCCCTCTACCGAGGATCCTGGCCAGGATGACGCTGAGATACTCGATGCAGAGGATAGTGTCATCATTCATCGAGACGTGCACAGTCAGGACAGAGACAGCGAAGATCGGGACATTGCGGATGGCGACTATGATTCCATCACAGACTTGTATCACCGCGACGACTCTCGGTCGACGGACCGCGATGACGATGAGGCCAGCCAGTACTCCGACGATCAGAGATTTGACAGCAAGGATCCAGAAGTCCAAGAAGTCAAGGTCAAGGAGGTTCAAGTCATTGAAAGCGATGAAGAAGTCACGACACCACGTGCTGCAAGCCCCATGGATCACAACAAGGTCATGTCTGAGGCTGTCCTGGACCACGTTGAGCAAAAGCCAGTCGAAGTACAACAGGCTGCGCCAGAGCCTCTGGCGGACAAGCCCTCTGAGGCAGTGGTGCCCGAGGAGAAAGCCGCCACGAGTTCTGGGCTCCCAGAATTCAAGAGCAACGGTTCCGAGAACCTCTTTTCTAAGGGCTTGTCGACATACATGCTGCCCAGACCTGACGAGGTGACTCCTCAGGTCGAGGATCTGGAGCCGCCCCCGAGGATGACGGATGTTCGCGCGTTCCTACAGCGCCCTTATACTCCTGATCAGCTATCCAAACCTGAGTACGATGGGTCGGGCTGGGGAGAGCCTGATGAGGAAGAATTCGACGAGCCAGGTACACCAGACTCTGTTATCCACCACCCTGTCTCAGACGAGGAGGACCTGGAGGAGATTGAGGAGGAAGAGGAAGAGGCCATATCACCAGTCGTTCCCGAGCGACAGGCAACTATCAAGGCGTCCGGCTCCAAGCTCAAGACCCGCCCTTCAGCGACCCCCTCAGACATTGTCTCGATGCGAGATGCTCGGCGCCAGGTCAGCCGAGAGGTACCTGAGATTCCTCCCATTCCCGAGCGCCACCGCAGCCGAATGTCCAGAGACTTCGACGCCGAACGCGAGGCTGACACTGGTGACGATTTCCTGGAACGACACCCCAGCTTTAAGAAGCGCAGTCTCACATTGGATCTCGACCTGGGTCTCAGCCTTGACCAGGACTTTGAGCGCGTCATTGAGGCCCAAAAGGTGGCATATACCCAAGAACCCCTACAAGCACCCTCCTTCGCAACCAGCAGCCCCAGTAGACAAGCGTCTAAACCCTCTCCATCCATCAACACCAATCCAACCGAAACTTGTATGACAAATGCTAACGTAAATTCTCGCCGTCAGCGTGGCTACCTCATGCGGCAGAACACGAAGCTCGTGACTGCTAGCGATAAGCAGACTGACGATTACTGGATGACCAAGTCGGCCGGCAACTCGCCCGTCAAGAAGGAGCGTCCCCAGACATGGACTGTCGAGCCGTGGAACAGCAAGCCCAAGCAGAGAAGTGTTCGCAAGCGACATGGTGCGAGCGGGCCGGCCCCGCCGCTGCCTGGTCAGGAGAGTAATGCTCGTCTGAGCGGCAACGCGGACGATATGAACCCCGAATTGGCGACTGAAGAGAGCGGTGAGCGCGGCAGACTTTTCGTCAAGGTCATGGGGGTAAAGGATCTGGACCTTCCCATTCCTAGGAGTGAGTATTTTCGTCCACACCCGCGAAAGCACAATGCTAACCTTGAATAGATGAGAGGTCCTGGTTCAGTC